AACCACAGAGGTGCTACCATCAGTCAGGCCCCCATGGCACAAACATGGCCCTCCTCACCTTTTCATTTCAGTGTCTCACAGCTGGAAAACCACAGAATCATGGAATGCTTTGGGTTGGAAGGGAACTCAAAGTTTGTCCCGTTCCAACCCCCTGCCACGGGCAGGGACACCTTCCATTAGGCCAGGTTGTTCCAGGCCCCACCCAACCTGGCCTTGAGCACTTTGTGGGTATGCCCAGGCTTCCCTTGGTGATTTTACAGGATCTAGGAAAGGGCCTCCTGCCCTGTGACCATGCTTTGCTGCTGCAGTTCCTCCACCCCAGGGCACTTTGCATCCAGCTGGGCTCCTGCCCTGGGGGCTGGTGTGTGCTGGAGCTGCAGGGTTTTGGGTGGTGTGTGCTGGAGCTGGATGCTGCAGGGTTTGCTCTGAGCTTGGCTCCCAGCTCTCCTAACTCACCAGGCAGCCCTGGAAAATCAGCTGCATTTTGGGCCCTTTATTGCCTCTTCCTATGAAGGAATAAAAGTACTTAAGGTGTGTATGTTGTTGAAATTACTTAAAGTGTATATGTTAATGTATATTAAGGTCTCTTGAAGAGACTCAGAGTGTCAAAAAAAATACTGGCCAGAGTATGTGGTATCTTGCTCACACTCTGCTTTGGATACTCTGGACACTTGGGATACTCTGGAAACAGCCTCTCTAGTGCAGCACCCACTGCAGCCCTAGTGCAGCTCAGCAGCTGTGGTGGGACCCTTCACTGCATCTTCCCCGACATGAAAGATCTCCATCCTGGATATGCTGGGGGTGGGGGAGAGAAACTGGAGAGTGTGAACTGGTTTGTACACCTCAGACCTCCTGATCCTGGTGGGGTGAGCAGGAGACAGCCTCACATGGGACCCTTGTGCTAATTTGGGCAAAGTACTGCTCCAGGTGGGCAGGTGACTTACCTGGGGGTCCAAGTGGGGTCACAGGGCATTGCCTTCTGCCAGTTATTGCCAATAAAAGTGGGAATCACATCCTCATTCATGCAAACCACTGAGAGGATCAGGCAGGAAGGATGCAACCCACAGCAGGGGAGGAAGGAAGCCAAGAAGGCACATAAGTGTCTGAGCTACACCAAGGCACCAGTGTGATGGCTGAGCCTCATGGGCTTGTCTGGAGGAGGACAGCAAGCCACCTCCTCTCCCACTGCCTGTCCACTCCTCCCAGAGCATCTCCTGGACCAGGGCCAGGTGAGGCAGATTCAGCAGCTTGGTGTAACACCTGTCAGTGATGCTAATCAGAGAAGGCATCTTTTTATCATGGATCTTACTCTTGGTGAACTTAGCACAAACAAGTTTGTGCCTTGCATGGCCCTGCCTTTATCAGAATATCCTGCAGTAGGAAGGGAAAGATTTCTTTAACCACAGGCAAGGGTAGAGAATTGAGGGGCAGAACAAAAGAGCAAAGGGTCTGGAAGGAATCACAAGTGACACCAGCAAAAACTCCTGGGACCTGCAGAGCAGGGGTGAGATGGAGTGGGAGGCACAGGAGATGGACTGAGAGGAGGTGACCAGGCTGTGGATCTTCCTGCTGGGGCTTTCTGGGCTAATTTTCAGCACATAGCCAGGCTGTGCAGCCCTTCACTTGTGCTGGATGAATCAGCAGTCAGCAGCAGTGGGGTTAAACACCGGGTTGTGCTGTCTCCCCGCTGAGGACACTCCCCCTCGTCGCTGGCTGCCGAGGAAATTTTAATCAGCACCGTGATAAGAGCCCTTCAGTCCTGCTGGGAGTTATCAGCTCCTTTGTTTGTAAATGTAACTGCTCAATACCAATACACTTGGCTCTGGGTTCTGGCACTTTCCTGCTCCACAGCCCTTTGGCTCAGGCTGCTCCCTCCCTCCAGCCACCCCTTCATCAAGGTGCTAAAACTGCCCAGGTTGTGCTGAAAACAAGATCAACCCTTTTCTGTTGTTGTTGTGAGCAGTTTCCTTTCTACCCCTGCTGTCACTGAGAAAAACACTTCTGAATTTGATGCGGTTTTAAGCTTCAAGGAGTAGCTGATGAATATCAGAGCCTGGTAATTTAGCCCTCTGCAGAGTACAGACAATATATTCATAATCATTCTATATGGAGATGAGCTAGTAATGCAATCAGGCTTATAAATCAAACCCAGGAGACATGTTAGTGCTGTTTGCCTGAGCGTCTTGAGCGATCTATCTACAGGAAAATGTCTGTCTGACTCTTAGATGGGGCCAATTAACTTATAAAGATGCTCTCTCCTCTCACAGTGGCTCATTTGTTTACTTGGGCTCTGCCAGCTGGTGCTATTTTCATTCTGGGAGAGGGGGCCAGGTCCGTAAGAGATTTGTTGGAAGCCTGGGCTGCAGAGGAAGGGAAAGTGCCTCAGGAGGGGCAGCGCCTTCATCAGCAGCACAGCGAGGAGACCGGGGTTTAATAAACAGCTTCCCTGTGTGAGCTGTCCTCAGGCTGCAGAGCGTGTCCTTTCACTCCCGCACGGGGCTGCCTTCTTTTGTCCCTGTTTTATTGAGCAGGGAGGGATAGCTGGAGCCCTGGGTCAGGCTCGGCCATGCCCAGGGTGAGGCCGTGTGGACACAGGAGCACATCCCACACTCTGGCAGATTGGGAATCAGCGCCAGTGGGGCTGGGAGGGTGATGCCAGCACCCAAAAAAGCAGCTCTGCTCTTGCTTTGCTTCCTTCTGGCTTGGCCACATCCTGCCCCACGCCATGTGCTGGGAGCAGGATGGGATCTGCTTTGACTGAGCAGGAATTCAGGTGTGCTGGCAGCCAGGCAGAGCTGGGAGCAGAGGGACACGGCTGGAGCAGAGCCAGCACGGAGCTGAGGTCGCTGCTGACACCAGAGGGTGGTGTGGTCTCACGCTGGAAAACCACCGCTGGAGACACATCCCTGCTCTGGCATGTTTGTAAGGAGAGGACTTGGAGACAAGCTCACATTTGTTTTGTCATAGAGATTTTTAATGTTTATTTTTTAACAGACTTGGTTTAAATTTTTGTTTTCTACAATAATTCAATGTAAAAATCCCAGTACAATATACAACAGTTTGAACATTTGGAATAAGAAATCCAGCTTGGGGAGACACGTAAGTTCAGCTAGTTCCTAACACAGGTAGCAAATTCCCTCCACCCTCCCCCAGATTTCCCAGCCAGGAAGGCATATGGGCAGGAATGCTTTACAAATGTCACACCCACCCTATAAAGACACTGGGTGCTGTGTCCCTGCAGTGGGACATCCCCTAGGAAAGGGCATCCTCCCCTCCATGGGATGGCTGGGAGCCTCCAGCATGGCAAGGCAGAGTCTTCAGGGAAGCGAGGCTGGCTGGCCCTTGTGCGTGAGTGATGTGGGATGCTCTGAAAATGCCCTGCGTGCAGATCCTGCAGGGTTTGGAGCTCCCTTGGCATGGAGAGGAGACCTGTCCTCCCCTTGGCAGCACTGCCAGCAGCCTGGTGCCCTACTGCAGCTGTAAGGCTGCTGGAAGGGGATGGCCCTGCAGGGCCCAGCCTAAGGGGCAGAAAACGAGGATGATGAAAGATCCCTGGCTCTTGGGTCTGAGGGGACATCTCAGGGATCACCCACTGGCCTGGGAGCTGGCAGCTTTTTCAGGAAGCCTCTTTAGGATGGCCCATGGTACTCAAGAAGCTTGGGAATGATCCTGCTTGAACAGCCTGGAGTGGTCCTGCTTGGGCAACATGGGATGGTTCTGCTCCAGCTACATTGGATGATCCTGCCCAAGCAGCCTGGAGAGGTCCTGCTTGAGCAGTTTGGGATGCTGCTGATGAAGCAGGGTGGGATGATCCTGTTCAATCAGCATGGGATGGTTCTGCTGGAACAGTATGGAATGGTCCTGCTCAATCAGCATGGGATGGTCCTGCTGGGGTGGTCCTGCTGAGGCAGCATGGGATGGCCCTGCTTGAGCACAGTGGGATGGTCCTTGTGGAGCATGGGATGGTCCTGCTGGAGCAGTGTGTGTGGTGGGTCTGCTTGAGCACCATGGAGCAGCTGCAAGTGGCAGGGATAGTTCTTCATGTCCTACAGCATCCCAAGCAATGCATTCAAAGCCACTCCTGGGCTTTCTCGCCCCTCTTGGAAATCCTTCGCTGCTGGATGTGATCCTAGGGGAATGTAGTCAAGCTCCATGTTCTACATCAGTTATTGCTAATATTAGATTGGGACATGGGTCACTTTATCTGGCTGAAACCTTTATCTGGTTACTGAAACCTTCCAAGGGCAGAGGTCATCATCCCCCTTTCCCCCATGACCAGTTCCAGCTGCACTAGCACTAGGGAGAAGTGTTCTCTGGTGGCAGGAAGGGCCCTTCCTGTGTGCATCAGGGGTGGCTGAGCTGGCAGTGGCTTTCCTGGGTTGGTAAGGGATGGGATACAAGGCAGGACAAGTGGGAAGAGAAGCAGAAAATTGTAGCTGGAGTCAGATGTGCTGGGAGTAAAAGAGTGCAGGAAGGAATGGGAGAGGTCAGGCTGGGAGAAGATTGGAAGTCAGGACAAAGGTAGAAGATGAAGGAGAATGTAAGGACAGTTAGGGAGCTGTGAGGTAAGGAAGGATGGCTGGAGGTCAGGGAGGGCTGGAGAGGGAAATCTGTGAGGTTGGTGGGACACTTAGAGGATAAAGAGGGATAGGAAGGTGGGGAAAAGTGGAGGAGCATAAGGAGAAATGGACAAATTTGGGAGGCAAATGATAGAGGACGGTGAGATATAGAGGATAAAGAGGGATAGGAAGGTGGGGAAAAGTGGAGGAGCATAAGGAGAAACAGGGACAAATTTGGGAGGCAAATGACAGAGTATGGTGAGATCGCCAGATGTCGAGTGGGAGAGGGACAGGGAAGAGGTGAAACCACAGGAAAAAGTATGGGGAACAATGGGAAGTGAAGGGTCACAGGAAGGACTGAGGTGGAGGAACAAGTATGAGATGGAGGGTGAAGGAGATGGACAGGACAAATTTGGGAGGCAAATGACAGAGTATGGTGAGATCGCCAGATGTCGAGTGGGAGAGGGACAGGGAAGAGGTGAAACCACAGGAAAAAATATGGGGAACAATGGGAAGCAAAGGGTCACAGGAAGGACTGAGGTGGAGGAAAAGTGTGAGATGGAGGGTGAAGGAGATGGATGATGGTGGAAAGGACAATGAATACGAAAAGTGAGGTTGGGGAGGATGAGGAGACTGGGCAGATGGTAGAAAGTGGAGGGCGAGGAAGGACAGGCAAATGGTGGTGTGGGGCATGAGGAAGGATGAAGGACAGTGGGAAGTGGAGGATGAAGAAGGTGGACAAAATTAAAGAGGATAACAAGGAGAGATTAGATGGCAGGTGATGGAGGAAAAGATAGAGGGGAGATGGAAAAGAATAGGAGGGATGAAGAAACACTGGGAGATGGACATGGATGACAGGAGAAACAGAGAGACACTAAGGGGACAAGAAGACAAAGACTGGAGGGCAATGGAGGAGGATGAATGAGAAGATGGGAAATGGGTAAGCACAAAGAAGGGATTGGAAATGTGGAGGTGGAGAAGGTAAGACTGGGTGACATTAGCAGTTGAAAGGATGGTGAAATGGTGGGAGGTGAGGGTGGATTTTGGCATGGGGAAGTGAAGTTGGAAGAGGAGATAGGAAGAGAGAAGAGGATGAAGAAAGATGTGGAGAAGATGAGTGGAGGAGGTTGGGGTGAAGGTAGGAGCTAATGGAGAATAAGCAGGGATAAACTGATGGTAAGATGTAGAGGACAGTGGTGGGGGGAGCTGAAGAAGACTGAAATGTTGACATGAATATGAAAGGAAAAGCTGGAGGCAAAGCAAGGAAAGGATTGATGGGGCAGGGTGAAGGTGAAGAAGGAAAAACAAAAAGGTGGTGGTGGTGAATGAAGGTAAGGAACAGGATGTGGTGAATGAAGGAGCAGGTCAGAGGGATGGGATGAAAGTGTGGCAGGAAGGCTGGAGGGTGGGATATGGAAGGCAGTGGAGGAGCACAGGAAGGAGGGGTGGGAGTGGTGGGTGACAGGAGAACAAGGAGGGACAGGATGCAGTGTAGGATGCAGGAGCACAAGAGGGTGGGAGGGACATGGTGGGTAATGGAGGAGCACAGCATGGCAGGGAGGGATGGGACACAGCTGATGACAGCACACTGGAAGAAGTGTGGAAGGAGGGAGGGGATGTGGAGAGAACAGGGAAGGATTGGAGGTGGTGAGTGACAGTAGAGCACAAGAAAGGACAGGACACGAAGGAGGGTGCAGGACAGGAAGGAGGGACATGACATGGTGGCTGATGGAGGGGCACAGAAAAGAAGGATGGGACCTGGTGGGTGATGGAGGGGGGTGGCAGGGAAGGATGGGACACAGTAGATGACTGCAAGGAAGGAGGGATGGGTGAACAACAGAGGCGCAGTGGAAAAAGGGCTGGGACGTAGAAGATGCACAGGAGGGATGGGGTATGGTGGGTGATGGAAGGAGGAATGGGATAGAGTAGCCCAGGAAGGAGGAAAGAGGGCTGGGTTGGGTTAGGATTGATGAAAGAGCACAATAAATAGGGATGGAACAAGAGCAGGGATGAAATGGATGGGACATGAACGATGACGGAAGAGCAAAAGGAGGGTGGGTTTTCGTGGGTGATGGAGGACCTCAGGGTGGGACAGTTTAATGGAGTGAAGCTGAGGCTGGGACCAGCAGGTGATCAGGGAATCACAGAATCACTAAGGTTGGAAACAATCTCTGAGATCATCGAGTCCAACCGTGGGGCACAAGGGCAGGGAGCCGTGGGTAGCAGAGGAAGGGGGTGTGGGGGTGTGTGCAGGCTGGGGTGAGCTGCTGGGCAGGCTGGCATGGCACACGGCAGCTGTGAGAAACACCAGCATCACAGGGACAATGCAGAGCTGGGGGCAGCCTGCTGTGGGGTGACAGTGGCAGTGAGGACCCACGGGAGATGACAAGGAGCCCTGGTGGTGTGGCACAGCTGGGGTCAGCACATGGGGATGGTGTCAGGGACAGACGGGGGGGTAAGGACAGCATGGGACACCATGTGTGGGCTGGGCAGCAGGCAGGATGGCAGGAACAGGGGCACAGGATCACATCACCCCACACCTCCCTCTGCAGCAGCACTGCCCCAGACAGGACAGGCAGCACGGCCCCCACACCACAGCACGGGAAGGCAGCACCAAGGGTGGGGGTGAGGGGTTGCAGGGCCTTTATTCATCACACAACAAGCAGGCATGACACAGGGGTGCAGGATGGGGTGGGCACAGAGCCTGTCATCGGGGCAGGAGGTGCCCTTCATGCGACCTTGGCATGGGCTCGTGAGAGGAAGCAGGAGGACGGGGCAGGGGCAAACTTTACCCAAAACACCTCAGGTTTCACCCCAGGCTGGGCACTGGCATGTGGACAGGGGCAGAATCCATGGAGGGGCTGGAGTAGAATCAGCCACCTCCACACCTTAAGGAAATTTTCCCCACAAATTCCTTGCCGGCCTCATCTCAGCCCCACTGGGAAATGCCCAGCACCGCTATTTACAGAGTAAGACAGAACTGACCAATATTACAAATAATTAAAAGGCAGTTTTAAAAATGAGAAACCACATTCCAAAAAGTAGAGAGTCTTTTAAAAAAACCAAACCAAACCAAAACCCCGATTATCCATGAAAATACTAAAAACCACCCCGAAAATATCTATGTACAGCAGGAGATTGCCCGTGGCAGTGCTGGACCCAACTCCTCCGTGGCAGGCAGGGACACAGCCCGGCCCTGGCTGCTGGTGAGGGCGGGCAGCACCTGCCCTGAGTCCCCCAGCCGGGTGAGGAGGGTCCCCTGGGGGCTGGCCGGGTGCCTCAGGAGCAAAAGGCCATCGGTACCAGGCCTGCTGGGCCCTGGCTGATGCTGGTGTGTCCGGGGACACAGGCAGTGAGCGGCTGGCGTGGAGATGCTGACGGAGGCTGCGACGTGGCAGTGATGCAGCAGCTGCTGCGGGCAGCGAGCGGCCGGACAGGAGAGGGCAGCAGCCTCGGCAGCACCAGCAGTTCTTAAGAGAAACTGCGAGATGACAATGTGCAGAGGCCCTGGAAGCGGTGTACAGAGCTCCAGAGCGATGCACAGAGGCCTTGGAGTGGTGTACAGAGCTCCTGGAGCAATGCACAGAGCCCTTGGAACAGCGTACGGAGCCCCAGGGCAATGCAGAGCCCTCAGAGCAGTGGATGGAGCCCCTGGAGCAATGCAGAGCTCTTGGAGCCCTGCACAGAGCCCCCAGAACAAGGCACACAGCCCCACAGCAATGCACTGAGCCCCAGGCACCTGCAGCTCCATCTGGGTGAATCCCTCCACCCAGCTCCATCTGGGTGAATCCCTGCCTGGCCCCTGGCAGGCGGCTGGAAAATAGGTCAGGCAGCTGCCTCAGAAATCTCTGTTCTCTCCTGGAGCTGCACAGGGGCACCAAGGCTGCTCTGTGTGGGACTGGGTCACAATTCCCCAGCCCCAGGAGCTCTGCAGTGCTGGGGGGGCTGTGGCTGCTGCCCCCTCCCTCCCTGGGTAAGGCTTTTTCTGGTGGTGACAGAGGGATGCATGGCGCAGACCACGGGCCACGCTGCAGCCTCCCAAACCACAATCTCTTAATCCAATTGGTGCCTCTCCAAAGTAGCTCATTTCGGTATTTTTAAAATGCACTTGGTTTTACATTGCAGGCTGTCCGGAGTTGGGCAGGGCCAGAAGTGGAGAAACAAAACAACAAAAAAAAAAAAAAAAAAAAAAAAAAAAAAAAAAAAAAAAAAAAAAAAAAAAAAAAAAAAAAAAAAAAGAGAAAAGAAAAAAAAAAAAAGAGAAATATGTATATTCAGCACTTAGAGAAGAAATAACTACAAGTGGCCCCAAGCAGGGAGGTGGGTGCACCTTGGGAGCAGGGGATGTGCACACACACACACAGAGAGGCACAGGCCACCTCTCCCCACGCTGTGCACCCAGCGATCCCAACCTGCAGCTGGAGGAGCCCTGGCACCACCCGGACCCCTCCCAGCAGCCAAGGGCCTCAGCAGCGCCCCAAGAGCAGAAGGGTGGCCGAGGAGGGCCCGCAGCCAGCCCAGCCCGGGCGAGCACAGGGAGCCTCCTTCCTGCCGGGGAAGCACACACAGCCCGCGGCTGATGCAACCGCACTGCAATCGGGCAGCCGGCCCGCGGGACGCCGGCAGGATGCTGGAGCCCAGGCAGGGCGGCTGCAGCATCACCCCTCGGCCAGTGCTTCCCTCCCCGTGACAGCAGCAGCCTCCCCTGGCTGCTCTCCCTTTCTCAGCCCTCGGCACGGCAGGGTCTCGGCTGACATTCCCGGGTGGCACCGGCCAGGACGCCCCGGCAGCGGGTCTCTGTGCGGGCAGGAGGCGATGCAGCCACCCTGCCAGGGTGTCCCCGCACCCCGGGGCTACCGGCAGCCTCCCTCCGGGCTCCACATCTGCTTCGTAAGCGTCCCCGGGGCCGAGGGGACGTTTAGGAGACAGATGAGCCCGCGCCGCCTCCGAGAGGGGCCCGCGGGCTCAGCGCGGGCGCTCTTCCGGCAGGACAGTGGATGGCAGGCACGCTGCGGCCCCCGGCCCCCCGTCCTCACTCACTCGAGACCCCCGGCTTCTCCTCCGCCCTGGGGGGGTCCGCGGGGTGCAGTTTGCACTTGGAGGGGGAGTGGCGGACCGCGGAGCGGGATGGCCGGGCAAAGCAGGAGGTGAGGGACTGGGAGCTGCAGTCACACGCCGTGTCCTGCAAAGATAGACAGGGCACAGCGGGGTTAGAGGGGTCAGGCACCCTGTCCCCCGCCACGGCGGGACACCCCGGGGGGCTCCGTGCCTCGTTACCTCGCTGGCTATAGCCGAGATGAGGTCGGGGTCCCGCAGGGCTGCGTCCTTACTGCCCTGGCCAGGGGACGAGGGCTTGGAGTCCTCGCAGCTGCCCTGCTTGAGGACCTTCTTGTTCAAGACACGGGAGATGTTTTCGTGGTGGGTGGCGGGGCTGGGGTGCTCGGCTCTCTTGCTCTCCTCCCCAGCGGCCTCCTTCTTCTCCTGGGGGGCAGTGGGGCTCTGTGCCCGCCCGCAGACATTCCTGAAGAACTCCTGCACGAGGCCATACTTGGGTGCTTCGGGCTTGGCCCGGCTGCTCTCAGGGCAGCCCGGCTTCCAGATGGACTCGGTGCTGCCCGCGTGCTCCACCACGCTGAACAGGCTGGACAGGCCATCGTTGATGTTGCTGAGGACGGGGCTGTCGCGGGTGGTGGTGGAGCGGGCCCAGGCAGAGCCGTTCTGCTTGCTCTGGTGCAAGTTCCACAGGCTCCTGTCCTTGGAGGCGTCCAGCTTGGAGGAAGACCTCCTCTGGAGCTTTGGAGAGCCGTATTTCGGGGAGCAGCATGGCCGCTCGATCCTGGAGTGGACCTTATCCAGGGAGGAGGAGATCTGCTTGCTGCGCACGGACACGAGGGAGGAGCTGCGCGGGGACCAGCTCTTGCCATGCATGCCGGCGCCACGGGGCAGGTCGGTCTGGAGGCCCACGCTCACCGTCTGGATGGTCTGTGTGCCCACGTGGGCCAGCCCCACTGTCTGGCTGGAGGTGCTTTTCACCTTCCTCTCGAGCGAGCTGGAGCGGATGGCCTGGCGCACGCAGTTGGTGATCTCCTTCATGTCGTCGCTCATGTTGCCGGAGATCTCCAGGTCGTGCAGCGAGGGGGGGAAGCGCGGCACGGGCGGCACCGCGCTCTCCCCCGCGCCGCCGTCCAGCAGCTCCTGCTGCTGCTTGGAGAAGTTGCACAGCCACTGGCTGTAGGTGCCCTCGGCGCTGGCCGACTCCTCCGGCTCCTTCGGCTTGGCCATGGTGAACAAGAATCCGGGCTCGATCATGATCTTGCCCTCCTTGTTGTGCACCAGAGGCGCCTCCAGCCGCCGCACCACCGGCGGGCTGTAGTAGATGCGGATCCCTGTCTTGTCGGGTGCCGTGTAGCTCCTCTGGATTTGCTTCTGAGCTGGGTCGTGTCCGGACAGGCTGCTTGCCCGTGAGTAGTCCCAGGAGGAGATGCCCAGCTTCTCCTTGGCCAGGCTGTCAGGGGCAGGTTGCTCGATATTCACATATGTACATTTTGAGGGAGGGAGGCTGGCGCTGTCCCGGATCCCGTTGGGCAGCATCTGGGTGGTTGAGGATGCCTTTTTGCACCGGGCGTGGTCACCCAGCCCTGGCATGGTCTTTCCAGAGAGGTAGGGAGAACAGTCGAGCAAGCTTTCAAACTCTGACATGGAGGAAACAGACTTGGTCCTGTGGGAGGAGAGAGAATAGGGATCAAAAGGGGGCAGGGAAGGGGACTGGGGGACAGCTGAGACACTCTGTTGCCACCCCAATGGGACCTTCCTTGCACCCAGTCCTGCTCCTCACAGGGAGCTCTTTGCTTTTGCTTGAACAGGGTTGCATCTCCTCTGTGACTCTCAGGGATGTCAAGCCCAGGGACCCCCTCTGTGTTCCAGGGACTATGGAGGCACCAGCACACTCACCTTTTGAGGTTGGTTCCCTTGGCTTCTGCTTCAGAGATTGTCTCCTTGTCTGTGATTTTCTCATTGAGGGCCTAGGAGGGCACAGGAGAAAGCTCCGGGGTCAGCAAGCACAGGACCAGAGCACAGAGATGGGCTGGAGCTCAGGGGCTGCATCCCACTCTCCTCCAGCACCACCAGCTCCCCCACACAATGAGCCACAGCAGTCCCAGGACTGCACGGGGCTTGCTGCAACTACATCTACTTAAAATCAGCTTTTTATAACCCCACAGAAGTTCTTGGGGGTTCAGCCATGCCCTTCACACTCTCACTCTCCTGGTGCTCTCCCTTGCAGCCTCATTTGATGTTTAAGGGGTGTTAATTGAGGTTCACACATCCTCCCATCTTAGCAGAGACCTCATCCCTAAGAGCATCCTGAGAGCACTCCACCTTCTCTTACCCACCTCTTTCCAGTTGCTGCCGTGCTTCTCCATTTCAGAGTGCTTCAATGCCCATGGATTGGATCCTTTCTGCAACTGGAGAATGTATTGGTCACTCAACAGGTGCAACATGAGCCTCTCTGGGCAAGCAAAAGCATGAAACATTCTCAGGGCAAGCAGCAGAGGCTGGAGGACACGTGCAGGATGGGGAACACCATACCTGGTTGAGTTTGTTCTGCAGGTCCTTCGCTTGCTGCTCTGCCTGCTGCTGCTCCTCCTTGAAGCGAGCCAGCAGCTCCACCTTCTCCTGGTTCCAGTTCTTCTCGCTGATCTGCAGCTGCTTGGTGAGGTCCATGACAGCGCTGTAGGACTCGGCCAGGAGATGCTGGTGCTCCTCACGCTCCCTCTTCAGTGCCACCTTCCAGTCTGGCAGCGCACGCTCTGCGATCCCTTTGCCTGCCTTTGACTCCAGCTGTGGGGACACGGTGGTGGCTGTGAGGGACCCAGGGCTCCAGTGTGCTGCTGGATATTTCCAACAAATGGGCAGGGCTGCGGGCATCCCGCTTGCCACTGCCACTCCCAGGCTGCCAGGCTGGGCAATAAGCATGTCCCCAAAGATGTGACACACACAACATGGCTTGCCCATGGCACAGCCAAGCCATGGCCAGCCGTGGCTTGCAGCCACATCATGCCAGCTGGCCAGCAGATGGTCACCCAGCAGGACACAGGCTGAACGTCCTGCCTGCCTGGCTGTGCTCCTGCCTGCAGGACATGGCTCCTGGAGAGGGGCAGCATCACCTGCAGTGCTGCCTGAGCAGCCCCCAAGGATGGAGCACCACTGGGGTGCTGCCACCACGGCTGCTCTGCTCACTTTTGAGGAGGAGATATGGGAACTGGGGACTCATGCTCTGCCAGGAGAAATCCTGCCTGGAAAGTGCTGGCACCTGTGCTGGGGGCACAGCTGATGAACAGCCATGGGCTGCTGCCAGCACAGCGTGAGTGGAAACCTCTCAGCACTGGGAGGGCAGGGCTGAGGGACTGGTGGGACTCATCCTAGAGGCTGGAGCTTCCCCCAGTGCCCAGGCTGCCCTCCCTCCACCTCCTGCCTTCCCTGCAGCCCTGCATCCCTTCTGCAGCATCCGCAGGGATCCTGGCTGTGACTCGGGGTGGGGGAGAGGTGGGCTCTGATGCTGCTCTCAGCTGCCTGTCCTCAGAGGGATGCTGAGCCCCTGTCCCATCCCACCCTCCCCAGACAGAGGAATAAAGAGCATCCTCTGCTGCTCCACAGTCAGATTTCCATGCCAGCCCTGTTGCCATGGAAACTCTCCTGCCTGAGTGGCTGCTAATTAAGATTCCCACAGTGCCACCCTGCTCCCAGCCCAGCGCTTGGCACAGGGCACAGGCAGGCCCCCAGCCCCCCAGCAGGCACGGGGGAGCTCTGCCAGCCCACGGGGTGCCCGGGGCTCCCACCTGGGCGATGTGGCACTTGAGCTCAGCGCGCTCCATCTCCCAGGCAGCCTTGGCCTTGGTGAACTGCTGCTGCAGCTCGCTGGCACCGCGCCGCTCCTCCCGCAGCTCCGTGCACAGCTCCTTCAGGGTCACCTTCATGTCTGCCAGAGTCTTGATGCACTCGTTGGGCTGCAGGAGAACAGGGCTGAGCACAGGCAGCAGGAGACCCAACAGGGTTCCAACAGGGTTCCAACTCTGTGGGAGCCGCCCTGTCTGCATCCCAGCCCTGCAGGTTGCTCCAAAGTGAGGGACAGGGGAAGCCACCAGGGCAGGGGACCATGCTCAGGGGTGATGTGCTGGGGAGGAGCATCCCCACACAGCCACCAGCCCACACCACACAGCCACAGCAGGGGCTGATCCTACCCTGATCCACCCCCTGGGCTCGTGGGGACCCTGCTCACCGTGTTGGGGGTCCAGGTGTCCCCAGCACACATCTTGTTGTCTGCCTGTTGCTGTGGGGCTAGCTCCTCCTCTTCCAGCAGCAGGTACAGCTCCTTCATGCTGTTCACCTGTGGGTGACACCATGGCTGGGGTGATATGGGGACCCACAGCCCCTGGGCAGGACAAACAAGCATGAGGGACACACCCAACAGTGTGGTCTCCCCTCCACGGCAGTCCACTGTACCTCCAAAAAGTCCTCGCCCTCACTGTGCACCATCTTGCCCTGGCGCCAGCGCTTGAGGAACCACTTGAGCTTCATGAAGAGCAGGAGGAAGCTCTGCCTGAACTGCTGTGACTCCTGCACCAGCAGGTTCTTTTCCTGGCTCCAGAACTTCTGCTCCAGCCGCCTCTGCAGGTTCAGGCTCTGCAGCTCAAACTCCCGCCGCAGCAGTGCTTTCTGGTGGTCCTCCTTCAGCTGTGGAGAGATGAGTGGCTCCAGGACAGGCACTGGTGGCAGCCATGTGAAGCCTGCCCCCAGGGTCTGGGCTGAGCCTGGTGCCACCCCATATCCCCATCCAGGGGAGCTGCATCACTCTGGGAGCATGCTGGGGACAGCAGGGCCATGGGGGAAACCCTGCATGGCTCCATGTGCACGGAGGAGTGTGCTCAGCTCAGAAAATGGGACATGCAGTGTGTGCTCACAGGTGACACCCAGGTCCCCACGTGGATCATAGGGCTGGGGCTGGAGGTGGCACCACATGGGTTGAGGCCAGCTGTCTCCCAGGGGCAGAGGCTGTGACCTACTCACCTGGCTGATCTTCTGTGAGAAGTTGTCCACCTCATCCTTCCTCAGCTGCCTCTCCTGTGAGAGCTGCTCCTGCAGCCCCCGCAGGCTCTCGTTGGCCTCTGACAGCACCAGCTGCAGCTCCTTCATCTGTAACAGCCCCAGAAGGGGATGGGAAAGCTGGCCTGCACTTCCCTGTGTCCCTCCCTGTGTCCCCAGCTCTCAAAAGCCTGTCCCACAGCCGTGTCCCCAGCCCTGCCAGCCCGTGTCATACCTCGGTGGCGTAGGAGTCGTTGTCCTCAGCCCGGCAGGGTTTGTAGCTCCTGGGATGGGCGGGGTCCGTGTCCTTGGAGTGGGGCATGCGGAAAGGGTCGGCGTCCCTAAAATCAGGCTGCTGCATGCGTGGGCAAGTTAATGAGAACAAACCAAAAGAGCGGGAAGGAAAAAAAAACCAGAAAACAAAACAATGGGTCTCCGAAACAGTAAAGAACTACAAGACAACAAAAAGGATGAGGAGGAGAAGGAGCTTCATCACCATGGCGGGAGACAATGCGGAAACCAAAAGGAAACACAGGATGAGGAGACACGTGGCCTGGATTGTTTGGGGAAAGGGGAAAAAAGAGAGAAAGAGGGAAAAAATGTGCAAACACCACTTATGGTGCCATGCAGTGACTGGGGGAGACTGGGACCTCGGGCTGGGGGGACAACATGCAGAACAATAGGACTCTGAACAAGTGAGTGTGCTCCAGAAAAGGGCTTGTGCCTGCAGCCCCAACCACCACTGACACCCCTGGCACGAGCTGGGACCCCTGAGAACAGCAGGACAGCAGGGCATGAGCTGCTCTGCACTGCCCCAAAGGTGTTCTCGCTTGGATCCAGATTTGCCCTGAAGCCTTTGCTCTCCAAATTACCCTGCCTGGGTACTTCTGGGGATGGAGGACTCCTGCAAGTGGGGTCCCTGCAATTTAAGCTGCTTTTGGAGGCTGCAGGCTGCTCTCCTCCCATCCAGCTCATCCCCAACAAGCAAAGAGCTCTTGAAACACAATTGGGCTAAGCCAGGGAGAGCAGCCAAAACACCAGCCCCTGCTAAGATGGGATTGCACCTGAGAGCCCCTGGTCATGGGCAGGGCAGCCTTGGCACAACCAGCCTGTGCCAGGATGCCCACTGCCTCCTGCCCTGGGCACACTCTGTTGGAGCAGAGTCCTACCTTGTCCCCGGTGCCACTGGCATGCAGTGAGGTGTTAGTTTGGATTTTGCTCTGGAGAGGCAGGAGGGAGGTTACAGTGGGGATCAGGGTTTGCTCCATTAAAGCAGGAGGAAACGTGGTGGCAAATAAAGCAGCAGCTGCTGTGAGGGATGTGGGAAGAAGCCGTACCTGGAAGTCAGAGGCATGCTCTTTGGTGACATCGTGGCTGCTGGGGCTGGAGAAGGGGAACGAGTCCGTGTGCTCCTTGAAGCCACCGGTGAGGTGGTCCACCTTCCTCACGAAGCAGCCCAGGTCCTGCTGCAGCACGCCCAGCCGCATCAGCAGCACGTTCATCAGCTTGGCATCACTGGGGCTGTCACCACCGCTGCCCACTGCCTCGCCCAGCAGCACCCCCACACACTCGTTGTCCAGGCAAGCCTTCAGCCCCGAGGTGAACCCGTTGGCATCCGAAATCAAGACATCAATCGCTTTACTGACCAGCGTTGCCTGGTCCCGGATGCCCAGCAAGGTCTCCAGGTCCTTGGGCTTGAGCAGTTTGGCAGGGCCATCGGGCGCCTTCCCACTGCCCAGCCCCCTGTCCTGCCCGTCGGCCTCGCTGCCGCCCACGCCGTCCCTCCAGCCGGCGGTGGGGACGCACTGTGCCGAGTCGCCGGCCTCGGCGTCGGTCTCCAGCATGGGCCGGGTGGTCTGGCAGGAGGCCAGGTCGCAGCGCTGGAGGTTGGAGAGCAGCACCCTGTTCTCGTACTGCAGCTTCTTCACCTTGCCGCTGAGCTCGCTGATCTGCACCTTGGCCGTGGCCAGCTCCTCCTGCGAGGGCTCGCTGACCACCGAGCAGCTGTCCTCCGACAGCGTCACATCCAGCTCGTGGTCCGACTTGTACTTGGTCAGCTCGTTCAGGAGCAGCTTGTTCTGGTCCTCCAGCTCCAGCAGCGAGCGCCTCAGCAGCTCAGCCTCCTCCTCCACGAACTGCAGGTGCCGGCGCAGCTCGGCCACCGTGTCCCCCGCGTCCCCGCAGCTGGAGACGCCCACCAGGAACCGCGTGTCCTGCCCCGGCAGCTCCCTGTCCCCCTGGCCCTTCATGTCGTCCATCTCCGCCCGCAGCCCGCGGTTTTCCACCTCCAGCTCCACTATCCTCCGGCTGAGGATGTTGGCTTCCTCCTCCACCAGCTTGAGGTGGACCTTCAGCTCGGCCTCCCGGGAATGGGGAGAGTCAGCCAGCTCCTCCACGGAGAGGGAGCTGTCGAGGTCCCCGTACAGGGACCTGTACTTCAGCAGCTCCTCCTTCATGCCGTCGTTCTCCTTGGCCAGCTTGGTCAGCTTCTTGCACATCAGGGCTGACTCCTCCTTGGCAAAATGCAGCTGGCACTTCAGGTCTGCGCTGTCCTCCTGGGGACCCAGAGGTGGGGGGTGTTAGAAAGATGCTCCCAGGGCCCACGGTGACTCCCAGAGGACCCGGGGGACATGCCACCCTCCCACACCAGTGGTCCCAGGGAAGCTGCTGGCTCTGCTCCTGGAGGAGGAAAAGCTTTGAGATCCATCCTGGAGACTTTCAGGGTGAGCCTGAAGATGGGACAGGATGCCCTGGATGAGGAGACCTGTGGGTCTTGCCCCAACAAGGACACTGAGCCACCACCAGCGATGCGAGGACCAAGTCCAGCCCGATCCACAACAGGGCAGAGGGGAAGGGAAAGCTCTCAAGGCTCCACAGGGTTATTATGGTTTCCTCCCCAAAACTGGCACTGAAATGCCCTCGTCAGGGCTCTGCTTCTGTTGCTCAGCCCCCCACTCTCATCACAGGTCAGAGAAGCAGCTGAAAACCTCTCCAAGTCCCAACCCCCAGCCTTGCTGCCACCACCTTGCCAGGGCACTGAAAACCCAGGCAAAGCCTCAGCACCAGCTCACCAGTCCCTTCCCAATCCCCTCTGCTTCTCAGGACCGTTTCTCCATGTGTTCTTTTTTTATTTAGCAGTTAGGATCTTGGCTGTTTGCCCAGACAGACCGTTTCTCTGCTCTGGGAGCTTTTTGGATGGAGGACCAGGATTTCCTGACGTCCAGCTCGCAGCTTCCCGTGCCCTGGGGTCACTCGAGTGCTCTGAGCTGCGGCGTGGTCACTGCCAGGAGGGGACCTGCTGGGCTGTGACCCTCACCTCACTGCACCCGCTGCAGCTGGGCAGTGCTGGAGGTGGCCAAGCCCTTTGGCTGGGTGGCTTCTGGCCCTGGTAGCCCTCTGCCTGGCTGAACTCACCCCTTTTCCCCTGTCCTTGGCTGGAAAAAACAAGCTGTCCCCTTCTTTGTGTGCTCTGGACCCCCAGCCACGCCCATGCTCACCCCAAACCCCACAGCACTATTTGCTCTGCTGACTTCCTGGATTGCTCATAACAAGGCCAGGGGGGATGGAAAGGGGGTTCCCACGAGTTTGGGGTGCCATTTTATTCCCTCAATGTCCTGCAGTGACCACAGGAACCACCCTGCTACACTTCCATGCTTGTGCACTGGGACACAACCTCACTAAGGCGCATTAAAGCTGTGCCCCCCTAATTAGGTGAGGAGATTAGGGGAGGGCTGGTGCGGGCAGGGCAGACATGACCTCAGTTCCTGTTTTTACAGGGAAAAAAAAAAAGAAGGCAGCAACCCAGTGTGTCCCTCTATGCCTTAGCATCAGTAAAGAGACACACACACATCCCAAAGACCACCTGGAGTGCTGCTGGGGTCTGGGGAGACCTCAGTGTGGAGTCTGTCCCCCCCAGCTCCGTTTTTGGGGAGTGCTGATGCTCACTCAGCACAGCCAGGCAGGCAAGGGGCCCAGGAAGCCACAGATGAGTCACAGCAACTGTGCCCACAGGGCCACCAGCCACAGCTGAGCAGGGACAGGGAGCCCAGGGGCCACAGCCAGGGGCATCTGCACGTGGGGAAGCCCAGAGCTCCTGGAGCATTGGTCCCAACACAGAACCCTGACCCCAAGCTGCAGGGTCTTAGCTCCACGGGGAAGCAGAGGGGGTTGGGGTTGTTTCCTGCCCCAGGAGGAGGCAGATGAGGAGCTTCAGCCTCAGAAAGGGGGTGATGGAGGAGCCCCCTCAACTCAGGGCAGAGCTGGCTGTAAGTGCTCTCTGGGGAAATGAGGGGAAGGATGTTGGGACCATCAGTTGGCCAGAAAGGGCTCTCAAGAATGGAGCTAAAGGGAGGTGATAAATAAAGACTGGAAGGGAAAGTCTTTGAGGGCCTGTGGGTCTCTGTCCTGTGGCTGCACAGAAGGGCTTGTGCCAAGAACACAGGTCACCCAAACCCCTTAGGCTGCCCAGGGTTCCTGCTGGGAGCCACTCAGCAGCATGTCAGGAGTGTCTTTACATGGTCTGCCTCTGTGTCCCAGCTTTGGGGGAGCAGATCTGTTCCCCAAAATAAACCCTTCAGGTCTGTTGCCTTTGAAAGAGGATTTTTCCTCTTGCCTTTCTATCCCTGCAGCAGCAGCTCTGCCTCTCCGAGCCCTGGTAACAGCATTAGCGAGTCACAGCAGCTCAGCTCAACAGCAAGTGACAGCTGAAATCCTGCTGCCACCAGCAAATCCCTGCCCTGTGCTGCCCCAGCAGCCTGTGAGGGCAGGAGTGGTGTGGCCTCCAGCCATCCCCACAGGGACCCCCTGCTCCCCCAGACCCCGTGAAGCTCCCAGAGCACCCTCAAGCACAGCTGCTGGCACTGGCAGGGGGGACACAGGATGCAAAAGCCACAGCAGCAGAAGCAGCTTTGCAATGTAAAAGCCAAACTCCTTCAGCTCCTTACACAGGGAAAGGGTTAAAAGCCACTGCTGCTCCATTGATAAATGAGACAAGGGAGCGGTTGAGGACAAAGAGGATGGCCCAGCACATCAATCCCCCCCTTATGCAGGGCTCTGGGAGGCAGGAAAGCCCTGCAAAGCCCTGCAAGGAGGGGATGGCACTGCCATGCCCGGGGTTACTCCTGGCCTGGGCTCAGTGTCCAGCTGGCACCATGACCTGGGGTGTTTCTGGGTCACCGTGGCGTGCCCTGGGTGCTCAGGTGCTGATACCTGCACTGATGGCTTCTTCTCAGTCTTGCCCAAGGAGCGAGACCCCCTCTTCTTCAGGGAGTTCTGCAGGAAGAAAAGAGAGTTATGACCCACAGTGATGGCCCTGCACCCTAGCAGTGACAGACAGACAGATTCAGTGAGGATGGACATTGGTGCTGACATTCCCAGATGCTCATGGACCCCAGGAAAACACCCGAGCCCTGGTGGGCTGAGAGAAGCCCTTTGCTTTGAGAGAGCTGGACTGGCAAGCATCACATCATGAGGTTTGGCCAGAAATTCCCCCTGCAGGCAAACGAGCAGTGAAAAAGCAGGAGTGAGCAGGAAATGAGCCATGGAGAGTGGAGAGGCTGAGTCACTGTCCCTGTCAGGGCTGCATGGAGCAGGGAATGCAAACCCCAGGCCAAGGGACAGCTCTCAGGACACTGCAGTGTGGGAGCAGCAGATGATGACATTCCCCATCGCCTTTTCCCCAGGCAAGGGATGTGTCCTGGTCCCTCAGCAGCATGATGCTGACTCTGCTGTCAAGGTCACAAAGGGACACAAGGGACAATGTCCAGGCTAGTGAGGACAGCTGGGAGGTGGGGAAGGCACACAGAGCAATAAGGCAGACCAAAAGCACAGTAAAAATGCAGGTGCCCAGAGCAGAGCCAGTTATCTGGGGAAGGGAGCTGGGGCAAGGCCCTCAAAACATCCACAGAGCCTCCCATGAGCGCTGGCTGATCCATGCAGCTGCCCTGGACCTCTTTCCAAGCTGGTGCTGAGGCCCAGCAGCCAGAGAAAGCAGCTGTGAAATGTAAGCTGCTGCCTGTGCCAAGGTGCAGGGCTCCAGGCTTTCCTATTAAGGCCACGACCATCCCTGGAGCTGCTGGAGCTGCAGAGCCTCTCCCAGGGGCTGTTGTGCCACATCACATCCCTCACCCCCGCCGTGCTGGGGACTGCAGCTGGCAAAGGGCAGCACCAGCCCCAGAGAGCCCCAGCAGCCTGGGGCAGACGTGGCTGCCACTGCTCCACCCTGGGAGCAGCCTTGGGGTGGCCCTGCCTGAGGGTCCCCTCAAGGCCAAGCTTGGTGTGCCAGGCGTGGCACGGGGTACCCAGATTGATCCCACTTTTTGTGATCCCTTTAGGAGACAGAAGAGGGGAAAATGCCTGTGCCTTCGGGAATGATCCCCAGACAATTATCCAGTTATGGGAGAAACCTCTCGGAAGGGAGGAATAATCAGCCCCAGGGGTGAATGCAGCCCTGCCTGGCTCTGGCTGCTAACGAGCTCTGCCAGGCTCTGTGCCCTGCAGCAGCAGGGAGGAGGAGGGCTTTTAGCTCACTTTGCCTAATGTTTGCCTAATTAGCACTCTGCAATCAGCCAGTAACCCCAACGCCCTTGCTAGCCTGGGGATGTGCCATCCTGAGCTTGGGGACAGTCTCTGAGCCTGTGCAGCCAGCAGTGTCCCCAGGGCTCAGGCAGCTGCAGGAGGGGCTGTGTCCCACCCCACGCCCTTCAGCCAGGGCAAGGCAGTGCCTGCCTCTCGAGCTCCCCACCATGAGCACAGAACCATCTTCCCTGCCTGTTTCTGAGTGAGGGAGAGCTCCAGCCCAGCTCCCACTGCTGCCATTTGTTATTCAGCCCGTGCTCCCGGCTGCAGGGAAACCCATTTCACATTTCACGGCTGTTAGCAGGGCTGAGCAAGACACCCCGTGTGGGGGATGCTGCTGCGTGTCACCAGCGCAGGGACAGCTGACAGGGGAGGGGTACAGCTGGAGCCTGCAGCTTCCCAGGAGCTGGGCTCACAGGGGAGGGGTACAGCTGGATCCTGCAGCTTCCCAGGGCTCAGCTTTAAGCAGGGATGGCCCCAAAGATCCCGAGCTGCTGTGTGCAGGAAGCACAGTGGGGGAAGTGAGAGCCTTCCCTTGGCTGTGTCTCCTCCCCCACACTGGCCTGATGGCTGAGCCAGAGATGCATCCCGAGGCTCCCCCGGGACCAAAGGCATCCCGGGCAGTAGGGAAGTGGGTTACAAGGGCTGCAATGGATCTCAAGTCCATGCTGTCACCAGGATGCCTTTCCTGTCACCGAGGTTGACACAGATTCCAGCCAGAAGCTGGTCCCAAACAGAGCATGACATGGAGTGCCCAGGACCTGTGCATGTGGGTACATTTGTGACTGCCCAGGACACAGAGGGGATTGTGCACTCACCCAGCTCCACAGCACCACTGGGACACTGCTGGGACCTGCAGGATGTGGTCAGGATACAGCCAGCACCAGGCACTCTGCCAGGACAGGGACCCCACACATCACTCGGAGCTTTGCCCAGATGGAATTGGGCACGGCCCAGGGGGCTGGGCTGAGCAAGTGGCCAGGGACATATAAAGTGTCCCCAGAGCAGCGGGGAAGTCCCATAGCCCCCCCTGGATGGGGCAGAGCCAGCCTGTGCCCGCAGGGTGGGATGGAGCACGCTGAGGGCAGGCGCTGCTCGGGTTTCACAAGCATCTGTAGCACGGCTTGGGTTTCAGTGACTCAGGCAGGGCTGGGGGATCCCATGATCCAGGGCCAGGACACCTGCTATGAGCAGAGCCCTGGGGATGCCTCCTGGTCCCCCTCACCTCTCGGAGCTTGTCCATCTCGTTCTGCACCACCTGCTTGGCCAGCTCGGTCTCGATGAGCCGCTGGCGCAGCTCCTCGTTCTCCTCCTCCAGCCGGATCCTCTTCTTCTCCACCACCTCCAGCTCATTGTGGAGACGCACAGAGACGTCCTTGGCCACCTGGGGACACAGCAGGGCTCTCATCAGACCTGGCACAATGTGCAGGGGGCTGAGACTACAGCTGCTGGGCACCCACAGTCCTCATGAGGAGATCACCAGGCAGTCACTGAGACCCTCTGGGGGAGACACTGTGGGAGTGACCCCCTGGCCCTTGTGTCTGTCCCCTCAATCATGTGCTGTGACTACTCTTGCTCCTTCACCAGCTTCAAGGCTGCCCTGCTTCCCCATCCCCTGGCCAAATCCTGCCTTCCCCAGCCCTAGCATGATGCTGGGAGACATTAATCACCTTTTTTCCATACCACAATGCTGGAGAAGCCCCCAGAAGAGCTGGTAGGCAGCAGCAGAGCAGGCAGCCTGTCACTGCAGGCAGCAGCTGTGCTGGCCAGGAGAAAGGCGAGCTGCTGCATCACATTACAGACAAACCAGCAGCTGCCCTGGGTGAAGGGTGCCTACACCCCCCACAGAGCTCCCCCTCTCCAGATCCCTGCACGGGAGCAGTCCCCAGCATAAAGGGAGCTTAATAACACAAAACATTCACTCCTGCATTTGCAGGGCAGCAAAACTTGTCCCAAATGCCACTGCTGTCCTGCACAGCTGGGATATCAGCACTGTGGAGGCAGCAGCAAGCCCTGCTGCAGGATCTCAGGCCATGGGGTTGGGCTCCTGCTCCCCCGAGGATGGGCTGTGCTTTCTTTCCCAGAAAGGGAGAAGCTGGAGGGGGTGTTTTTGGCAGCAGCAGCCCAAGCTGGGGGGAGCTGATGGGTGGTTTGGGGAGGGGATTGGGGCCCCAGCAGGGATGGGCAGCGAGGCGGGTTCACAGCCCAACACTTGTGGCACGTCTTGGCTCCAGGACTGGCTCTTTTCTGCTCAAAAAACAAAGTTAGTCCTCGAGCTGTTGCACATCCATCCCGAGCTGTCTCCGAGTGCCACTGCACCCCCTCTTGGCAGCAGTCTCGTTGGTGAGAGCCCTCAGCAAACACTCACCAGGCTCCTCCAGGGCCAAGCAACGTCACCCTGCAGAAATCCTCTTGTCCCTGCCCCAGCCCCACGTGCCACCATGCCTGGGGCTCTGCAAGGTTTCCCTGATGGCCGAGAGAAGCAGCTCCCAAGCCTGCAGGGTCCTGGTCCCCACGCTCCCTCCCTGCACACCTGTGATGCTCCATCCTGCAGTGGTGGCCCCATCACATCCCCACAGGAGCAGGATAAGGGAGCTCAGCCCCAGGGCACTGGGCTGGGCTGGGCTCCAGCCTGCACAGGATGAGCCTCACATATGGCACATTTTCAGCAGTGCTGGCCCTCTCCACCACCAGGACCCCCTCAGACCACCTGTGAGCTGAAAGCACTGCTCCCCACTTCCCACATCAACACTTCTAGCACGGAATTATAACGCTTCCAACAAAACTGCACATCACAAACTGCACATCCTCACAGAGCTCCCTGCACCCCGACATCCCCTGCCACCTCCATGGCCACAACTCATCAAAACCCCCTGTTGGGGGCTCTGGGGGATGCCTGGGTGGGGAGGTGCCCTGCCAGGCTGACCTTGACGTCCTGCTCGAGGCTGTGGATGAGCTCGCCGTCCACCTGGCCGGTCTGAGCCACGCGCAGGCTGCGGCGCTCGGCCTTGCGCAGCCGGTACTGCAGGATGCGGCACGTCTTGCTGGCCTGGTCCAGCTGCTGCCGCAGCTCCTGCAGCTGGTACACGTCCTCCTCCATGTAGACATCCCGCATCTCCAGCATCTCGGCGCGCAGCTCCTCGATCTCATCCTGCAGGGAGACGTTGGGTTAGACCCTGCAGCTTGCTCTGCCCTCTTTTCCCCTGTGACACCTCCCCACCACGGCTCTCCATCCATCCATTCTCCATCCATCCATCCATCCATCCATCCATCCCTCATCCATCCATCCATCCATCCATCCATCCATCCATCCATCCATCCATCCCTCATCCATCCATCCCTCCATCCATCATCCATCCCTCATCCATCCATCCATCCATCCATCCATCCATCCATCCATCCATCCCTCATCCATCCATCCATCCATCCATCCATCCATCCATCCATCCATCCATCCCTCATCCATCCCTCCCTCCATCCATCATCCATCCCTCATCCATCCATCCATCCATCCATCCATCCATCCATCCATCCATCCCTCATCCACCCATCCATCCATTCATCCATCCATCCATCCATCCGTCCGTCCATCCATCCATCCCTCATCCACCCACCCATCCATCCATCCATCCATCCATCCATCCATCCATCCCTCATCCATCCACCATCCATCAATCATCCATCAATCCGTCCATCATCCATCCATCCATCCATCCATCCATCCATCCATCCATCCATCCGTCCATCGATCCACCCATCCATCCCATGAGCCATTTTCACAGCTCTTCAACCCCTTGGGCCAAGCCCAATCCTGGCAGGAAAGGCTCAGAGCCAGCTGGATGCCGTCACCCAGGGGTGAGCCAGTCACGCGGCGGGGAACAGCCAACAAAAGCGCCTGAGAGTATTTGTGGTGAAAGAAAGAGGAAGGTGGGGGAGGGAGAGGAGCTGCAGGAGCAGCTCAGGCAGCAGCCACAGGGAGAAAAATTAGGTTATCTTTGGAAAAGATGTGTCAGGGAGGCAGGCGAGGGAAGGAGGAGATGGCAGGCAAGGACAGCTGTTAGGGGAGGGAACGTGGGGACATGAACCAGATGCCACCAGTGCTAGGGACCAGAGGCTGCCCCTTGTTTTGCCACCAAGCAGCAGCCCTTGTGCTGGGTCCTCTGTTCCACCTCTTCCCAGTCTCACCAGCTCTCCCAGTGACCTCCTCCAGCACAGCAGAGCCTTTGGCACAGAGCAATTGCATCACTGCCACAGCAGGGCCAAGGGTGACATCCTGCTGGCACCAACACTGACCCAGAGCCTCCTCTGGGGATGTGGCACACGGGGCCCCCAGTGCCACCTCCTCATCCAAACAGGACTGTGGTCATTGGGGCTGCTCAAGGACTGTCCCCTCTGGTCCCTGGGGACTGACCAAGCTCTGTCCACGTCACCATGAACATGGTGCCAACCCAAATCCCCCGAGCAAATCTCCACCCACCACACCGGCTGTTCTCCTCACCAGACCCAGTGGGACCAGGGATCCCTCCTGGGAAGGCATCAAGCATCTGCTTTCCTGCCAAAACCCCTGCCACTAAAGACCTCCTGACACTGCCAAATGCGACTGCCACTTGAAAAGTGAGTGGCTCACACTGCCACTCTGCGCCATGGCACGGTCAGGGAGGGAACAAAAGGATCTGGCACAGGCATTGAGGATGCTCAGCCCTGATTCACCCTGGGCAGAGGGGACAGGGGACTGTCCCCTCATTCCTGCGACAGTGACCTAGAGCCTGAGATGGCAGCTCTGTGCTGGCCCTGCCAGGCGCTGGCACAGTGGCTGCCACACTCACCCTGCCTGACAAAGCCCCAGCTGCAAGAACTCCCCGAGAGGAGAAGCCAAGCCCGGGGAAAGGGCCGGCAGCTGCACGCACAAGTCACAGTCGCTCACTGTTGGCTTTGAACACTTTGTAACAAAGAAGGAACCTCAATTGGACAATCCCGGATTATCTCCTGGCCTGGGCTGCCGGAGCCCCGTGGCACCATGGCCACCAGGGTCCTGTCACCCTCTGCTGCTCTGCTTCTCCACAGGGGGCCTTGAGAACAGATCTGCTGCTGTTCTGGCTCAGAACAGACACAGCCCCGAGGCTTTGAGATGAGCACAGGGGGTCCTGGGGACACCGGCCAGGCTGTTCCAGGGACAGCCAGAGACTGTCCTGTGAAGGGGCATCACTGCAGACATGTTTGAGAAAACCTCCTGGACATGTCAGGTGTGAAACCCCCCAGTGACAAACCACATGTGCTGGCAGACAGCCCTGCAAGGGCTGGGATGCACCATGGGGTGACAAACTCGATGGGAATCCCCCACCAGCACTGCCACCTCCCTCCCTGGCAGGGCCACAGCCCTGGGGGCACCAGCAAAACCCCCATAAACCAAACCAGCCTGGAGAGCTGGTTTGTGGCATCTCTTCCTCGGGAGCTTTCACACAAATAAAGGCATTATGGATTGCAGGTGAGCAGGCACGCTGCAGGCTGGGGGACACAGCCTTCCTTTCACCACCACCGAGTCGTGGCTGGAATACAACTGCAATCCTCCTTCAGCGCTCTCCATTCCAGCTCTCACTTGCCATGTGGCTTTCCCAGGCAGCAGCTGAGCAGGGCAGGGAGCAGGGACCTTGGAAAAAACCCAACCACATCTTGCATTTGCTGGAAGAAAGCCTGGCCTTGCCCTGCTAAGAGCTCCTGCTTGTTTATGCTCTGGGTTGTAGCAACCGTTATTTTAGGGGGAGGCAGCGTCCAGCCTGGGCAAAGCCTGGAATCAAAGCCACGGAGTGGGGCTGGGGGGATTTGCAGCACTGGGGGCTGGGAAAGCACTGCCTGTCTTTGCTCCAGCTGCAGGAATTCACCCCCATCCCATAACCTGATAAATCCTCTGAGTGGATGCAGCCTGGCAGGCGCACAGCCTGCCCCAGTTTGCCCCACGGAGGCAAGCCATGCTGCTAAGCCACAGTAAAGGGATTAGGATTGGAGAGTGGAAAAATGCCAGGAAGAGAGCTTGGAGGACAGAGCTGATCTGCTAAGGCAGCACATGGGTGCACTGGGGTCCCCTCACAGCCTCAGGGGTCCATGGTGGCCACAGAGCCTCACCCTTTGCACATTTTGTGGAGCTGATGCCCAACCCAGCAAAAAAATCCGTTTGGATTAAGGTGAGAGCAGAACCAGGAGAGGGGAGGAACCCCACAGAAACATCCCAAATTCAGGGGTGGCATTGAGCATGGAGCACTTTAAGTGATGTTAAATGAAGTGTGACACGGTGACAGGTGGGCAACACTGAGGAGGAGATAAATTACTTCTCTCCAGCACAAATGCCCCTGGGGACTGCCCTGCTGGGCTACTGCCCTGTAGACAACAGGGTGCCCATCCCTGTGTGGAGTCACAGCCTCCCAGGATCAGCCTGTTCCCCTGCTCCAGGATCATCCACCACTGCACCCTGCTCATCCCATCTCTGCAGCAGCAAAGATTTCACAGGGGTTTTCCACTAGAAATCTCCTGTCTCAGAGAAAATGCTGGGAATCTGCAGTCCAGAGAGACTCATTTGAATGCCCCAGGGATTGTGTGCAGAAGCAAACAGCCCATTTCGTGGCTGCAGGATTATGCTCAGTGGAGAAGCACAAGAGACAAGCTACCTTCAACCTCCTCCACACAAACCTCAGAGACACTGTCTCTCCCCGGGGAGATTATTAAGGAAACTAAGAAGCGGAAAGGTGGGATGCAAACTGCCTGTTTCCAGCTCAGGAAAAAGAAACCGTGCCTTTTCAGAGCAGGAGGAGGCAACAGCTGTGTCCACACATGCACTAGAAGGACATCAGCTCTTTCAGGAAGCGCTGAGCTTTAGGTGATGACCCTGAGCAGTGACAGGGCAGAGGGGGACCAGTGGAGATGGCAGAGTGCAGACCAAACCCCTTACAGGTTGCAGAAGCATAATTAAACCCTCGGATCTCCTACTCAAGGGGAGTTACACGCTGACTTTGGCTCATGCAAGAATGCAGCAAGCTGTGAGCAGAGCAGGGGGCACACACTGCTCAACGCAGCAGGACCTGCTATCTCCAAGCAGCAGAAAGCAGCACGGGACACGGAACAGGCTCGCGCATTGGCCGTGCCAACCTTGGCAGGCAGTGCCAAGCAGCAGCAGCCTGCCCCTGGGGGATGGGCAGCATTTTGGGGGGCACACCCTCCTGTTTCCACCCCCCCAAACCTCAGCAGAGGAGGAGGAGGAGGGGTGGGAGCTGCCGGGGTGGAGGCAGAGGCGCCTTTGTGCGGGGCTGGGCTGTGCCCGCGGCTGTCCCCGCGCACAGACGGGATTACCGTGTGCAGGAGAGCCACCAGCACGGCTTCCTCCCAGATTACAGCACAAAAGCAGCAGCTTTCAATTAACTCTGAGCAGGCAGCCCGGCAGGCAGCACAGGGAATTATGCCTGAATTTGCTAGGGGGGAAAAAAAAGCAAAACCAGAGGGGATTTTTAAAGGACACTGCCCAGGGTGCTCAGGCATGTCCCCTGCCAGCAAGGGGAACGCAGAAAATGCAGCACACCACAAGCCCATGCCAGGGTGCAGTGGGTGGAAGGAGGGCAAGGCACACCCATGTCACACACGGGTTTCTCTGGGTGCATTAGCAGCAGCTCTGGCCCAGCTCTGACAGCAAACACCAGCCATCCATGTCACGCTGGAGCTCAGTGCAGCAGCCTCAGTGCTGATCCCTGCCCCTGGCTGGCATGGCAGCTCCCCCTTGGTAATGGGAGTGAGGGAAAAAATCAACATTTCTCAGCTTTACACCTGCCCCCATAAATTACCAGGCAAACAGCTGGGGGCTCTCTGCAGCCCATCCCATGTTGTGCAGCATCCAAAAAAGCAAGAGGCTGCAAAATCCCTTCCAGGGTGGCTGCTTGACAGAGCTCTGGTCCCCAGGTCTGCAGGTGGGTACTGGGGCTCCCAGGCATGGTCCCTGTCCTTGTGGGCAGGCAGGGTCTGGGCAGCAGCAGAGCAGAGACTCAGTGCCAACCAGGCTGCCCAGACACAGCCCCCCATAGCCCTGTGGGGGCTTTCAGGGAGCCCTTGCTGGTGGCATGACTACCTTGGGGGAAACAAGGCACCCAGCCACATAAATGTTTCTCCACAGAGCTGGGAAATGCATGTGAGCCCCAGGGGATGTGGGGACTCGGGGCAGGGAGCAGGAGGGGGACAGGCAGCAGGGAAGGGCAGGCAGCACTGTGGTCCCAGGACTGCATGGCTCTTGCCTAAACCCCTTTCTTGGAGAGGCGAGGCTCTGCAGGCATCCCCTCCCCTTGCTCCAAACCCTCCCGTGCCCACTCTTTGTCTGCCTGTCCCTCTGCAGCTGCTGCTGTATCACATCTCACATTTTCCAGCCTGCTGAGCAGGGCTGGGAGCTGCTCTCCATCGCACGGCTCAGCAACAGCGAGCTGGGGCAAGGACACCAAGCCACCTCCTCCCTCCCCAGGCTGCCAGCCTGCCTGTGAAAACAGCCCTTTTTGGGGAAACACTCGGAATAACCCGTTCAGGGGGGTCACAGCAGGTGCACAGGCCTGAGAGCAGGGACAAGAGGAGATCCCAGCTCCCCCAGTACAGCCAGAGAGGGAGGAGGAAAGCAGAGCCTTGCACAAATGTGGGGTGCAAAGAGAAATGTGTGCTTTAACAAGTCGCTTTTATTATGGCAGCCGAGGAAAGAAGGGACGTGAGCTGGCACTGCTGGAGCTCTGCTGGGAAGCTCCCAAACCCAGCGTGCATCACACGGGCGTAGTAGCACCACACACGTCTGGCTCGTGCCAGAACGTCACCAAAGCCCTCCCACTCCCAAAAATCCTCATCTCGCTCTAAATACGCGCTAGGTTTTAGCTGGTGCTGATGAACGCATGAAAAAAATATTCATTTGCAGCTTTTTGGGTGAGTCCCAGGAAATAAGTCACTGGGATAAGTCTGATTCATCCACACTCGAGCAGAGGAGAGCTGCATGGCAAGATGGGCAGTGCCAATCCCTCAGGTTAGGGCTTTATTTTTGTTTTAAGTCCCGAAATGCCTGAATTTTTAGCACAGATGGCACAAGCCAGCACTCTGCTGCAGCCCAGCCCAGTTTCCTGCTCCTTGCTGGAGAAACTAGGCAAATCTTCCAACATTTTTTGGACCATAAGAGGTGTGTGCTCTGGGCTTCTGCCCAGCTGGAGCCAGGGTACCACCACAGCCACCTCCTGCTCCAGAGTCAGGAGAAGCAAGCTACAACATGGAAATAAGCAGGATGCACATGGCAGGGAGGGGACACAAGTGCTGGCAAAGAAGGGACGATGCCACCAGCATCCCCATGGCCATTGCTGGTGCACACCCCCAGCAGCTCTGCCCTCTCCCACTGCCCCTGGCCGGGGGATTTCAGCTGCCACCCCTCAGGGCAGGTAAATCACTCCCACCCTGCTGGCCTGCAGCTTGCCAGGAAGGAGATCACATGGGAATGGAGGAAGCAGGAATGGCAGGGCTTGCACGCGTGTTCTTGGAAACCCAGGGGCCTCATCTGTATTTTTCCAGCCCCCAGTAAATCAAAGCCCTTAAGCTGTTGCTGCTAATTTTGGCAGGAGTTGGGACACCAGCCGTGCACTGGGGCTTTGCTAATGGACAAAGGGCCTGACTGAGCATCTTCCAGTGCATCACCCAATGCCCACCTCGGGCTGGAGCCCTGACACTTTCACAAACTCGGGCAGCAGCGGAGGGGAGCTGGCCTGACTTCCAACCTGCAGCACCCAAAGAGCAGCTGGGGAGCCTTGGTACCCAGCCCTGAGCTCGCCAGCAGCTGACTGCCCAAGCAGCTCAGCCACAGCTCCACCCTGAAGGAGAGCACAGGGCACAAAATGCCTGCAGCCACCACAGGACGTGGCACCTGGGGGGTGCTGGTGCCCATCAGGCTGATGTGTGACCAGAGGTGAGATGGCTCAGTGTCCCTGTCCCCTCACATCACGTCTGCCCTGGCTCAACCATGCCCCTGTAAGCCAGGCAGACCTGGAAAAAGGCCCCGGGGAGCACAGGAAAGAAGAGAGCTGGAAAATGTCCCCAGGGTCTGGCAGCAGCAGAGGCAGGGAGAGCAGCAGGGAGCCATGCCCAGCTGCCAGGCCATGCCCAGCTGCAAGGGTCAGTTTATGCCATACTGTGTCCCAGGATGCCCAGCCAGGCTGAGCACATCCATACACTGCTAAGCTGTGCCAGCCCAGGCTGTGCCAAGCCTTGCCATGCCAAGCTGGGTCCATGCTAGGCTTGGTTGTGCTGCACCCAATGTGCTGTGCCAGGGCAAGCCATGCCCGGCTGGGTCACGCCTGGCTAACCTGGCCCACGCTGTGCCAAAGGCTGCCCTGTGCCAAGCCATGCCATGGAACACTGAGCTGAGCAGTGCCCAGCATGCCACACCACGCTGGACCATGCAGTGCCAAGCTGAGCTCTGCCCTAGGTTCAGCGTGGCCATGCCAGGCTTAGACAAGCCAGGCCCTACATCCAGTCATGCTACACTGTGCAAGTCAAGCCCAGCCACAGCATGGCAGGCCAGCATTCCCTGGCTGTGCCATGCTCAGGGATGCCATGCTGGGCTGAGCCATGCCAAGCCCTGCACCCAGCCATGCTGTGCTGTGCTGCTGATCTGAGCCAGGCCAGGCTGAGCTGTGCCCTGTGCCCAGCCATGCCCTGGGATGCTGAACTGCACCAGGCTGGACCCAAAGATGCTCTGCCACATGGAGCTACACCTCGGGATACAGTGCCATGCCACGTCATGCCATTCAATGGGATGCTGTGTCATGCTGAGCCATGCTTTGGCATGCCATGCCGTGCTGTGCCATGCCATTGCCATTGCCAGGGAAGCTGTGCCATGCTGCACCGTGCACAGGGATGCCAGGCTGTGATAATCACGGATGCTCTGTTGTGCTCAGGGATGCTAAGCCATGCTGACCCCTGCCCTGGGATTCCACACCATGCCATGCTAAGGCCAGGGCTGCTGCACCATGCTGAGCCATGCCCCCGGATGCCCTGCAAAGCTCTGGGACGTTAAACCACACTACAGCCAGGGATGCTGACCCTGACTGACCCGTGCCCTGGGATGCCATGCTGTACCACTACTGCCCAGGGACACCATGCCGCACCGAGCCGTGCCAGGGATGCCACGCCGTGCCCACCTTGAGATAGTCGTTCTCGGAGCGCAAGTCCTCCAGCTCGCGGAGCAGCCCGTCGGTGCCGGCGTCCAGCAGCTCCTCGGTGAGGTCGGAGAAGGCGAGCGAGGTGCTGAGCTGCAGGCGGCTGCTGGCCATGGAGGCGGCCGAGGGCTCCTCGGGCAGCGGCGACGCCTCTCCGGCCGAGGGCGGCGGCGGCGGGGCGCTGCCCGGGGACTCGCCATCGCTGCCGCTCAGCCCCAGCTCCAGCGACAGCAGCTTCGCCTCCTCCGAGGCGCTGCAGTCCGACACCTCCGAGCTGCTGTCGGTCAGCCCGGACTCCGGCCCGGGCCCGGCCACCGAGCGGGGTCCCGGCGCGCTCCTTCTCGCCCCGGGGGCCGCCGTCTCGGCTCCGTGCCGCCGGCCCTTCGGCCG